GGCGTGAAGCCCGTGCCCTGCCCCCGAGAGCCCACACCTATATGCACACGAGTCCTGCTGGGGACAGGGGGACACGTGAGCTCAAGGCTCTGAAGCAGGGAGATGCAGTCTTCCCGGGGCACCCTGGGCTCCAGCGGGCAGAGCAGGTGATGCCACGGGGCTCGCAGAAAGCTGTCCCTGCGGCAACTGTGGAGTGGGGCTTTGTGGGACACGTAGGAGTTCACTGAGCAGCGAGGGGAGAGCTGGGTGGGAAGAGCACTCCCAGGAGCAAACAAGACCTCGGGGTTTCTTAGTGGAAAACCTTGGCCACAAGTAAGTGACTGAGGCTCCTTGAGCCGCATCCTCTCCGCGCGAGTGAGGACGCAGCAGGGAGCGTGCACACGGCAGGCTGCCGGCTACGGGAGCCACCGCCCTGAAGTCAGCCCGGCCGCCTTTGCGGGCGTCTGAAGGGTGTGGAGGGTGGAAGCTGGAAACGTGCAGGTCCGCAGGGCCGGGGGCGCCGAGGACAGAATCTGGACCTTGTTCCGAGAAATGGGAACCCACAGAGGGCCGTCGCGGGCGCCCAGGGTCCCGGGGGCCTCATGCTGCACCTCCGAACTGGGGCCGGAGAGCGGGAGGGTCTTGCTCTGTGCCGCCCGCGGGGAAGCAGGGACCCCAGGGGGCCGGCCAGCCGGCAGGAGAGCCGGTCACCGCGGTGGGGCCCAGGGAGCCTCCGGCAGCAAGGGAGGAAGCCGCGGGCGATGACCTCATCCCCCAGGCCTCCGGGCCGCGGCTCATGGGGTTTTTAACCACAGCATCGCGGGACAATCCCCGGTATGCTCGGCACAGAAGGCGCGCAACACGCCGTGTCTGCGCCGTGCCCGTGGGCGCCTCTCTTTGTGTGGGACCCGAGGAAAGCGACGGAGACGAGACGGGCGGTCGCCTGGGCCGGGCTCTCGCTGCGGAGAGTGGGCAGAGCCAAAGCAGCAGAGACAAAAACAAAGAGCTCACAGACCCCGTGCCCGCTCACACGCACGGCCGCGCAGACACACGGGGATGCGGGCGGGCATGGGGCAGCGTGCGCTGCACGCACACACGCGTGTGCGAAGGGCAGTGCACACACACCAGGGCGGGAGGGGCCCCTTCCCCGGGGCGCACGCGTGCCCGCTAACCGCCGGGCCCGACCAGCGGCGGAGGGGCGCTGCCTCCCCAAATGGCTTTTGCAGGCCCTCGAATGTGCCTGCTTCAGCAGAACACGTAATCCCTGGGAGGCCGCCGGCTCCTCGCTCGGCCCACAGAACAGCCCTGGCCTCGAACGCTACGCTTGTGAAAGGGGACGGAGGAACGCGGGCTCCCCGGAACGCACGGCTTCGGGTGACCCTGCTCCGTGTACGGGGCGCGCGGGGGCCCCTCGCATGGAGCCCACGCTTGGCCCCTCCTGGGCTCCCGGCCACGGTCTGGCTCCCGCTCACACTCTGGGCCCCAGCCAGGGGGACCCGCATTTCGCGGACAACAGCGCCACCTGGTGTCCTGCACATCCCCCCCCCCCCCCCCCCCCCCCCCCCCCCCCCCGCCTGCCTCACTGCTTGGGCCCACTCCCCGCACCTCTGCTGACGGGAGTGGGAGTGGGGTGGAGGTGAGCCCCGTCCCCACCCCCATGGACTGACACCTCCCCAGGAAGTCCCCCTCCTGTCCCCAGGGCCTGGCGGCTGTGGGCTGTGGGGGTGGGGGTCCCTTCCTGTAGAAGACCCCCAGTACCTGCTGGTCTCCCCTGCCCTTCTCAGGGGCTCCCCCCACCCGGAGAAGCCCTTGGCACCTGTGCAGACACATCCCACCTGGCCCCTCCACCGCGCCCCTCCTTCCCAGCCCCACGAGGGACATAACTCGTATCTGTCCCTGGAGGCCGGGACCGGGCCGCCTCATTCCCTGCCCCCCCCCCCACCCATGGTCAGGGCTCTCCAGTGGCAGCCGGACACAGCCGGTTCAAACCCCCCTCGAAGCATCCGGCTCTGTTCAGCCGCTGAGCTGGGATGTCCTTGGAACCCAGCAAGGCCACCGGCTAAAGCTGAAGCTGCCCTGACCACGCCCCCTACTTTACAGGGGCTGGGGGCTGAGGCCGGGGCCACACAGCAGCTTGGGGGTGTCCTGCGGGGGGCAGGTCCGGGGACAGGGGCTCGTGGGGCAAGTCCAAGGCCTGGAAGCACCGTGCTGGGCGTGTGGGCCCCCCCCCCAGGCAGTGCACGGTGATGACGCGGTGAGCCCGCCCGCAGAGCCCCCAGACTGCTGGGAAGGCAGGTGCGCGGGGAGAGAGGAATGGGGGGCCCCCGACGGCACGTTCAGGGACAGTGACAGCCAAGCTCAGCCCCAAAACTGGACAAGAAGCCAGTCACGTGGCATCCCGGAGAACCGTAGGCCAAGAGCAGAGCACGCGCAGAGGCCTTGAGGCAGTGGGGAGAGTCCAAGGCGCAGGCGGCAGGGCCCTGGGGTAGAGGGAGACAGCGAAGTGCGCGTAGCATTTTGGGGGCCCAGGCAGAGAGGTCAGCTTTATCCTAAATGCAACAGGGAGTTTGGGGAACAAGGAGGCTTGTTTTAGGAAGTGTGGGGGGCGCCTGGGGGGCTCAGTCGGTTAAGCGTCCAACTTCGGCTCAGGTCATGATCTCACGGTTCGTGGGTTTGAGCCCCACGTCGGGCTCTGTGCTGACAGCTCAGAGCCTGGAGCCTGTTTCAGATTCTGCGTCTCCCTCTCAGCCCCTCCCCTGCTCATGCTATGCCCCCCCCCTCAAAAATAAACATTTTTTAAAAAGTGCTGCCACCCCCCAGAGAAGGCTTATGCAGAGACGGCCCCTGGGGGGACACGAAGGTGGCAGACAAGGGAGGCTGCTCGGGGTCTCTGCCCTCGAACGGCTGGAGGGCAGGTGGGACACAGTGGGAGTGGGCTCTCTGCCTGGGGCGGGGGGGCTGTCCCCGGGCACAGCCATCCTGGGTCCCAGAGGAAGGAGGAGCCACAAGCCTCCCCCCTCCCAGCCCCTGCTGAGCCCCATCCCCAGCCGGGGCATCTGAGCCTGCAGTTCAGATAATGGCCACCAGGTGGCATGCGGGCCTCAGAAATGCTGTGACTGCGGGAGGGCAGAGGGGGTGCCCAGGACAGACGGAGAGGGGTGGGGGCAGCCGGGATGGGGGGGCAGCCGGGATGCTGGGGGGCCGCACCACGCTGTGGAATGAACCATGAGCTCTGAACGGGACGGGCCTTCTCTGGAAGGGAGGTGCCCGGGGCAAGAGGAGAGTGCAGGCCAGAGCACAGGGTCCTGAGGCCACCAGGGTCTGCGCCCACGCGCCTCTGGTTTCCACGGACAGCACGGGGCCTGGGGTCCCAACCACACGGCAGGGTGCAGGCCGCGGCTGCGAGGGTCCTGGCGGGTGCTGCACACTCGGCCCCGCCCCCCAGCTGGCCCGGGGTCCTGCCTGAGCTCACGAGGACGGGCTGAGTCGTCGCCTCGGCTCGGGGCCGTGGGTTCACACGGCCACGGCATGCAGGGACGCACGCACGGGGCCTCGTGGGCTCGACTGTGCGCCCCCCACGGTCACACGCTGGCGTCCCACCCCCAAGCCCCTCAGCGTGTGACGACATTTGGAGATGGGCTTGTTAAGGAGACGATTAGGTAAACCGAGGTAACTGAAGTGAGGCCTCGAGCCTGTAAGGTCCGTGTCCTCGTAAGAAGGGACGCCAGAGCCCCCCGCCCTCCGCGCAAGGACACCCTGAGGGCACGGCGTGCCAGCGGGAAGGGGGTCCTCACCAAACAGACCGTCCTGGCCCCCGGTCTCTGACTTCCGGGCTCTGACGTTGCGGGGGACAAACGCCATCTAAACGGCCGCCCCAGGACTCTTGACGTGCTCCGTGCGGTCCAGGCTGCGGCGCAGCTCCTCACGGGACACCCCCAGGCAGCAGAGCCCCGTGCCAGGCCCCCCGCCCCCCCCGGGCCCCGGAAACCCACCGCCCGCCAGCCCGCAGCCAGCGCACCCCCCCCCACCCAGAGAAGCCCGGGGCTCGCAGTGCCCGGCGCCCCACCCCCGGAGAAGCCCCGCGCACATGCCTCTGCTGGCCGCGACCCCGGGTCCAGGCCGCCCCACGGGACCAGAGGACAGAGTCCCAGACGGGGAAACAGCGAGCGAGAGAGGGCGCGTGAGCGACCTCCGGACACACAGGAAGAGGAAGCCCATCTGTGACAGCAGCTGACGCCTTCCCCACCACCGTCCCCACGGCAGGAAACCGTACACCGTCCCGGCAAAGAGGCGCACGGAGCCCGTGGACAGGACACCTCACCCGACGGACGTCCCCCAGCTGCCACCAGATTTCTCGCGAACACTGGACAGGTGGGCGGCAGCCGCGCAGACACTAGGTGACGGGACAGGACAGACCGGCGCGCGGCCACGGAGGTCACGCGGCCACGGAGGGCGCGCGGCCTGGGGGTGAAGTCACTGGGGGGCAGAGGAGCAGATCCCCACGCAGACCCGCGCGCACCGGGGCGTCTGGTCTACAGTGAAAACGGCACCTCGAGTCAAGGTGGGAAGACACAGGTCGGTGGACGGGGCCGAGCAGGTGGCCAGGGCAGGGGCATCTGGCCAGAGGCTCAGGTGGGACCAGACACCCAAGTACTGGCCTCAACCCGGGCCAGGGGTCACCCCGACACCCAGGGCCACGGGGCAGGTTTGGGAAGCTGTGCTGACAGGTCTTCCCGTCCTCCTGTCCCAGCCTAGCTTGGAAGTCCCCTCTTCCAGGAAGCCCTCCCAGACCACCAGTCCCAGCCTGGCAGTCACACCCTGGCAAGTGTGGGAGCCAGAGCGGGGGTCCCCATGCCTCCAGTCCCCAGCTGCTGGCCAGCAGGGTGGGAAGGACACCAGACGGGGTCACCACGCAGGCAGGAAAGGCCCAGAGCAGCTCACTCCACGCCACGGGCCACTCGCCCACAGACCAGAGTCCCCGCGGCTGCAACAGCCGTGCAGCCCCTCGTGTGGCTACGTACCATCCAGAAGAGGGTGCCTGTGGCCAGGGCGACGTACTGCTCGATGGTGGACAGCACGCTGAAGATGAGGCAGACCAGGACGATGAGGAAGCTGAGGGCGGAAGACACGCGGTCAGCTGTGGCGGCCAGCCTGCCCGCTCTGCCCCGCCAGGCGCCCGCCCGGGCCCGGGGGCAGGAGGGGCTGCCGCCACCCGCCGCAGTGGGACCACGCCCCTTCCCTCCCCACACCTCAGAACTCAAAGTGCCACCCGGCCCAGGCCCCCGGCCGGTGTGCACAGCGGGATGCGGCCAGCGGCCGTAAAGGACGAGGGTCAGGCCCCGCTACAGAGGGACGGACCTCGAGCCACCGCGCCGAGAAGCCACGCTGACAGACCACGTGCTGTGTGACTCTGCTTACACCCAGCTGCCCCGTTGGCAGCCCGGTGACCCCTCAACACCACCCGCGGTGTGACAGCACGGTGACCCCAGACCCCTCAGCCCCCGCGCCCCCTTCCTGAGCATGCCCCCCCGCCCCGCCTCAGGGCCTTTGCACCTGCTGCCGCCCCCGCCCCGAGACTGCATCAAGCCTCCCGGTCTTGGCCCAGGACCAGGGGCCCCACACGCCCGCGCTCTGCGGCGTCTCGCTCCGCACTCCCACTCGCCTGGGTGTCCAGCCGTCCGCCAGGACCAGGGCCGCAGCCCCCAGGAAAGCGGTTTCACAGACGCCAGGACTCCCCGTAGACCCCAAGGGGAGCCCTCCACGGGGGCGATGACATGGGGCTTCAACCTCACCAGGACACGGGCACGTGCCGGGGGGGCAGCCAGTGCCCGTCTGTGGCCAGACCACCACGTGGGCACGGGCTCCCCTTCCAGGCCCTGCGTGCGCCATGCCACGGGCCCCGACCCACAGCCTAGGGCCCGTCTGGGCCCCGCTCCCCACCAGCTCGCTCCCCGGCCGGCTCCCAGGCCTCTGGTGCACACGGGGCCCAGGAAGCACCCCCCCAAAGAAGACGCAGGCTCGCCACCTGCGCCACGTGGCCCGGGCAGTGCCCCCTGACTGTTTCCCCATCAACACGAGCCAGAGCCCTCGGCCACGTCCTCATGGGGCCACGGAGGGCAGTGCAGCCGGACATCAAAGCAGGGACTCAGGGGCCTGGGACAAGCACTCAGCTCCCGTGGCCTCTCCTCCTGTGGCGTGCGATGACACAGCCGTCACCCTGTCAGCCCCAGGGAGCACCCCCTCCGGGCCCCCCAACCCGGTGCTTTACAGACAGTGACCTGGACCCCGAGACTGCCACGGCGTCGTCACCCACCACAGGGGTCCGTGCTTCCTGGGGCCACGTGTGGTTCAAGCACAGAGGTGCCAGGACGGCAGGGCCATGTCCCTGGGGGCCAGGAGGGCCGGGGGGGGGCAGTGGGGACAGCTCACGTCTCTCTGACCCCTGGGAGGTCTCTCCTCCACCCCCACCTCACCTGTCACCCTCTAAGGACATTTGTGAGGACGAGGAGGGCCTCCCGAGACTAAGGTGACCCCACCTCGAGGTCCTTCACTCAGCCACACCTGTGAGGCCCCTCTTGCCCCTTAAGGTCACACATGGGGTCAGGACCCCAACATCTCTGGGGGCCATTATCCAGCCAGCCAACAGTTACCCCTTCTACAGACCAGCCATGCCCGAGTCACATCCCCCGCGAAGGGAGGCCCGGCGCCCCCAGGACCCACAGCCAGGACATGCCTGAAAAGCCCCACATTCTGGGCCGTCTCCCGCCCCCCGCGGCAGCTCTGGCCCTGGGGGGTTGTGACGGCACCTGCCGCCTGCCTGACTGGTGCTCAGCTGAGCCTCAGGGCCCAAGGGGGCAACCCGCGTGTCCCCATGAGAGCACGGACTCAGGCCCCGTGCACACCCGTGTCAGCCCCTCTGCCCGGCCCCCTGTGCCCAGGAGCAGGAGAGCCCGGGGAGGGGGAGGGCTGCCGTCCGGAGCCTCGCTCACTGAGCAGCAGCCCCGTCTGCACACGGGCCCCGCCGGCCCCCAGGAGGGGACGTCAGCACGGGCGCCCTCACCCCGGAGCAGAGATCACGGGGAGGCCCCGGGCAGACAGAGCTGAGCGCAGGGGGACCCTGGGCCGGGAGCCCACAGGGCCGCTGCAGACGGCTTTCCAGCGAGGGCCGGGGGACAGCTGACGCCCACCGAAGGGCCCTGCTTCCCCTGCCCCGCGCTCATCAAGTGTTGTCACCCACACTAAGTGTGTGTGTCTGCTCCGTCCTGTCCCGGCTGCGCCTGCGGGCCTCGGAGATGCGGGGACAGGGTCCCTGCCCCTGGGGGGCTCGGGGCCTCCTGAGTCCCTGGCGCTGAGACCATGGCTCCGGTCCAGCCCGCCACCCATGGCTCCCGAGAGCTGGGAGACAGAGGCCCTGGAAAAGAAGGGCTCTGACCCATTTTCTGGGTCAGGTGTGGGAGCAGGGTGGGGTGGAGAAGAGGCAGGCGGGACAGAGGTCGCCCACCCCCACCAGGCCGTGTTGGCCCGAGGGACAATGCCCTGCTTGTGCTGCTGGCAGGAGCCGGGGCCCCAAGTGCCAGGGACGTCCTGAATCTTATCGGTCATCATTCCCGTACCTGCATCAGCCAGGTGCCCTGGGAACACAGAAGAATGCAGGAGGCCCGCCAGGGCCACCGTCCAGGACAGCGGGAGGGCACCCCGGTGGGGGAGGGCACCCCGGGTGGGGGCAGGACGCAGGCGGTGAGCCGGGTGGGGGTGTGCCGGCCCCTCGGAAGCGCTGCGAAGCCACGGCGTTCTCCCCAGCCCACCCGGAGGCACCTTTCAGCCCTGGGGGGCTTCCCGGTGAAGCTGAGAATCATTCACGTGCACCACACTCGACAGGGGACAGAAAGCACGGCTGTTCCCGGAGCCCTCGGCGCCCCCACGCCCAAGAACACGGCCATCAGGTGGCCCTAGGGTCCCAGCTGAAATTCGGGGAGCTTGAAATGGAGCGGAGGAGGATCACCCGGATGGAGAGTGGACGGTGGGCCCTGGGGCTGGGGGAGGCGCTGGGGGTCCCTGTTTCACGGGGACAGTTTCTGTTTGGAAAGATGGAAAGTTCTGGAGACAGGATGTTCATAATGTCCCTGAGCTGTGTGCCTGACACGCTTAGGATGATACATTTTACGTGGATTTCACTGCGATTTTCATAAAGTTAAGGGAGTGACGTCTGGACGCAGCAGCGGACGGCTGACCGAGCCCGAACAAGGCTGGGGGCAGGTCACGCAGGGTTCAGGGCCCCCCCGTCCCTCCCCCAGGACAGGACCTTCGCAGGCAGGTAAACAAAGGCCGTGTGGAGGGACCTCAAGCCCGAGGCCGGACGGGTTTTGAACGTGTGATTCAGCAGATTAGGTGCTGACGTGTTTAACCCCAAACCGTATCAGAGGCTTCTCTCTGTATAAACCTCGCCCCGGAAGGTTCCCAAGAGCTGGAACAAATGAAGGGCAGGTGCCCTGCCTGGAGCTGGTGCCAGTGAGCCTGGCGCGATGCCCACTGACACTGGGCTCCCACGAGGGTGGCCTCAGGCCCCGCAGGGCCGTCCACAGGGCCCCCCGTAGCCCAGCCCGTGCCGGCACTGCTCCCTCTAAACCCCCGTGAGGGGCCAGTCACCCCACGTGAGGCACACCCGCAGGTGGCCCAGACATCCGGGAGCAGAATCACAGCACTGGCGGCGAGGCGACCCCGAGGCTACGAGGCACAGGAACGCCTTCAGGGCCACAGCGCCGACCATGAGCCCAAGCTGGCCGACCCCAGGCTCCCCAGCCCCAGCTTCAGGCCGAGACTGAACCCCCACTTGGGCCAAGGGCCGGGCCCAGCGCCGGTGCCACGGCTGCCAGGGCGGGAAGCCCACGCTGCGTGCACGCAGCTGAACCACACTGGGGAGGGGGCGCGCTGTATCCTGGTCCAGCTTCTGCGGCCCCAGGCATCACCCTGGGCTGGGGCTGCGTGGTCACGTGGACCCTCTGTCAGCTCTTCTGCGCGAGGACGCCTGTCACCACACGCAGCCCCCCACCCCCCGTCCCCGTCCCCGGATCCCTGCTGCCCCTCAGGACCCTGAGCCGCGTCCTGCCCGCAAAGCTGCTGCTTCTGCACACGGCCCCGTCCCGCTCTGGGGGCCCATCCTCCCGGCGTGGGGCCGGCGGCAGCCCTGGGCTCCAGGAGCCGGGGCCACGGGGTTCAGGGGGCTGCTGTCCGGCCCCACAAGTCAGTTAAGAACCACCAGCGAGAAACCTGCGCAGGAAGGAGCCTTTCCCGGGTGTCACCAAGGGGCTCGGGCCCTGCCCTCCCTGTCATCAGCTGGCCCCCCGCACACACGCGCCGGGGCCCAGGGACCTCGCTGGACTTGACGTGAGCAGGTGGGGGCTTCCTTCCAGCCGGGCACCCCTTTCTCCCCTGAAACGCCTCCCTCTCTCATTCCGCTTGGAAGGGGTGACCAGGGAGGGCTTCTCAGAGGCAGGGGCCTGGTCCGGACAGGGGCAACGGCAGGTGCAATGCCAGAGGAGAGCATGACCCACAGGTCAACTCGGGGAGACGGCGGGGCGAGCCTGGGAAGCAGCAGCCCCAGGCTCGGGGGGAGAACGCCCCCCGAGACTCGCGGTCTCTTCCCAAACAGATGCTGTGGGTCCCTGAACCCGACAGGGAGGCCTCGGGCAGGGGGGCACCCGGGCCGTGCCCTGGGGAGGGGTCCCAGACCCCCCGGGCTCTGCGGCTCCAAGGGGCTGAAGCCGCTGCCTGCACCTTAGAGGGGCCCTGCCTTCCAGCCGGGCCCATGCAGTCCGGAAACCTTCCCAGGCCAAGGTCTCTCATCAGCCGTGTGGGCGCCGGGGGGCGACCCAGCAGGGAGCAGCGGCCTGTGGTCACTGACGGGAGGGAGGGCGGTAAGAGCCGGGGTTCCGTCCCCATCAGAGTGTTTCCTGGGTCCCCGGCTGATACAGCGAGCTAGGTACTAGGAACGTCCATCTCTCAGGCACGAAAACAGAGGCTTAGGAATGCCGAAGCCTGGGGTTCCCCCAAAGGAGGGGAAAAGGCAGCACGGCGCGGGGGGGGGGGGCGGGGTGAGGGCAGCCCCACACTCG